TGCATGTGTTGGATGTTTACACCAATATGGCAGTAAAGTGAATATTTTTACATAACTTTAGACATATTTGATTCAAACACAATAAATATTATGTATATATACTGATATACCTGTGTTTGAATCAAATATGTCTAAAGTTATGTAAAAATATTCACTTTACTGCCATATTGGTGTAAACATCCAACACATGCAGCTTATCTGTGCTTTCTAACTTTTTTTATCTGCAGTCCTACCCGGACTAACCACTTTTCTTGTTGTTTTTTTCTTTTAAAAACAGTTTAAGAGGATGCTGAACCGCGAGCTGACACAGCTGTCAGAGACGAGCCGCTCAGGGAACCAGGTGTCAGAGTTCATCTCCAACACCTTCCTTGGTGAGTTTGCATGCTAGACGTTAATGAATGAAAGCACACTTTGTGGCAGAAGGAAAAAGCCGAAAGGTTTCGCTGTTGAATCATGTTGCCTTATACTGAAAATGGGGTGCATGACAACTTATTCTAAAATATATGAAATACATTTGTCCTATCCCCAACATGTCAGTGTCTTTGGTGTGTTCCAGCTTATCTAACAAGAAGAAATACATTTGCATAATTGCATAAACTAGCTTTGTTGAATGTTCTGCCGTCAGCATTACACAAAACTGCTTCTAAACATATGTGATGTGAGCATGGCATGCTTTATAAGAGGTACTGTGAGAAAAGAAGATTGGATGAGAGAGATTCCTTGTTTTTATGGAGAAAAAATAAGAAAAATGTAACAATTGGGAACAATTTGAGAGCAGAAAAAAGAGCTTTAATAATTCAAACAGAAGGAGATAATGATTGTTCCTTAAAACGATGAGATGGAGGAAACTAAAAAAGTTAATAAAAGAGATAGGTAAATATTAAAGAAATGAGATATTAAATATATAAAAAACAAGGTTTATTAAAATAAGGAAGAGGTTGCTTTCGAGGGGAAAAATAGTGAGTAGAGAAGGAAAGAGGAATTGTATAACCTCTGATAAATAATAATGTAATTAATAATGTGACAAAGATACAAAAAAAAAGCTGGAAATATGAACAGTGCATTGTTTTTAAATAGAGGAAGGAGGAGAGGGATTGAAAGGTGAGGATTCTTCCTTCCCTAAAAGAGAAGGAGGCGCGACGACAGACAGCATTCCCGGACACATTGTGTGGCGTTGTCTTAGCAACAGGGTGCATTATTATTAGACGGCGTGTTGCATCAATAGGAGGCTCAGTCTTCAGCAGCCGCGCCGGCAGGATGGAGGTCCAGCTGGAGGAGGACGGAGCTGCCAGTCGGCTGCCGTTCTGACATGAGTGCCTCGGCATCAAGCCCTGCCGCGTTTGGAAATGAACACCATGGCTTTGGGTGTGAGGAAGAGGAGGCACTGTGAGAGAGGTGAGAGAGGCCAGACAGCGCCTTGTGTGACGCTGCCACTCAGGTCGCTCTGCATCCTTAAGGTGGCGTGTGCTTATAACTGCGTTCATATCTGGATACCGTTCAAACAATCATTCCTGCCGTGCTAATAAAAAGATGCGAGATACTCAGGATGATGTGTGGACGTGAGGTAAAGGAGGCTGGCTGGGATGTCAAAATGGGATCATTATTACCTCGGTTTGTACAAATACGGATGAGTCATTTTCACTATCGTGTCTGCTGGGACAGCACCTCTGTGTCAACAAGTCATATGGCGGTTATGTTGATTCTGTCCGTGGAAACCTTGTTTTCATCATTTTCGTGTTTTTGCTGTAAGGATTACAAGGTTCACTGCTGTTTTGAGAGAAAAAAATCTCCAGACATGATGAAGCCTTTTTAAACCTTGTTGGAAAAACACGAGAAGCGCTTCGTCATCAGGCTCAGGACAATCCTGAGCTACTGAGAAGCTGACAGCTTTTACTCATCATAGCTTTCTACTACAGGTGTTCTGCACCTTCTGCCATGTAGTCCGTTCATATTTATTAATCTACACCTTGCTGTGTTTGGACAAAACAGCTTCATACTGCAGGTGTGCTTCATTATACCTCCTGTATAATTCCTGTTTGTTGGTGATGTTTCATCCGTGGTCTATATACAGTTTAAACTGCGTACGTGAGCATTGCGTACATTTAATTGTAATTTTCATTATTTCTTTTTACATTGCAATTTACATTTTACGGACATTTTACACTGAGTCAAAACAAATTGGTTACATAATATCACACTTTATGTGACCTACTGTATGTACAGTAATGTACTACATGAAATTGTATTATGCTAGTGTTGTTGTTGTTGTTGTACAGTGTTAGCCGTTTTAGTGTGCATAGTTATAACTGTATTAGTTTGAAGAGGTACAAGTTGCTTAAAACTACTCTAAACTGTTTGGATAGCATTACTATAATAAATATTAGCTGGTGCAGTCACTAGTTATACAAGTCTCTATGTGAGCTTTAGCAGTTCTAGCACCAGCAGTAGAAACTAGCATGATTAAAGAAATGCTCATTGAATAATTGTTGTTTTTATTATCAGTAGTTTTGATCATATTACAAATATCGGTTATCGGTGCGTTGATGTTGGTAGCGGAATAATAGTATAAAAAAAGGTTGCAGCAATAGTTAGCAGATGCACTAATAATACCGTTAGTAATTGTACTGGTGATAGAAGAATCAAGGTGTGTTTACACAAAGAAGTCTGAGAGAACTCAAAACTTGCGAACAATAATCCTTACCAAAAACATGAATCAAGTAATTATTACTTTCAGAACTTACCATGTAGTTGTATGGCTTGGCTCACTTTTTATCAAGCCCTTTCCTCTGTTGTTCAGTCTCTGTACAGTACTGACGATGAGTCGTAGAGCTGCAGGTGCCTACAGACAACGACAATAACATTGTCCTCTTATTGATTGACAGCCTAGGAGCATAGAAGCAAGAGTGTGATCATATTTCCTCAATATGTGTGCATGAATACTTGCTCTTCTCACACACAGCGTTATATATTTTTCAATTTAAGAAGAGGTCATAAAAAACACCAACAGAGATATTAGATCTCTTAACTTGCTGCAATTATTTCACAGAGACGGTGTGAATACATGCTTGAATCAGACTCTATCCTACTGACATTGTGACAGTTGAGCTAAAGTAGAGCAAATCAAGTAAAGTCTGATATTTAAATGACTTAAAGACGGACATATATATTCAATGTCTGTTTGTGCATGTTGCAGAGAAACAACATGACGTGGAGGTCCATTCTCCACCCTCTAAGGAGAAGGAAAAGAAGAAGAAGAGGCCGATGTCACAAATCATTGGTGTGAAAAAGGCCACACAGAGCCCCAGCGTAGCCCCCACCTGTATCCCTCGCTTTGGAGTCAGCACACCACACGAGAGCCTGCTGGCAAAGGTGGGCCCACACACACTGAGAAACACACACACACAGACACGCACTGAGAAACACACACACACAGACACACACTGAGAAACACACACACAGACACACACTGAGAAACACACACACAGACACACACTGAGAAATACACACACAGACACACACTGAGAAACACACACACAGACACACACTGAGAGACACACACTGAGAAACACACACACAGACACACACTGAGAAACACACACACAGACACACACTGAGAAACACACACACAGACACACACTGAGAAACACACACACAGACACACACTGAGAAACACACACACAGACACACACTGAGAAACACACACACAGACACACACTGAGAAACACACACACACAGACACACACTGAGAAACACACACACAGACACACACTGAGAAACACACACACACAGACACACACTGAGAAACACACACACACAGACACGCACTGAGAAACACACACACAGACATGCACTGAGAAACACACACACAGACATACACTGAGAAATACACACACAGACACACACTGAGAAACACACACACACACACACACACAGACACACACACACTGAGAAACACACACACAGACACACACTGAGAAACACACACACACACACACACAGACACACACTGAGAAACACACACACAGACACACACTGAGAAACACACACACAGACACACACTGAGAAACACACACACAGACACACACTGAGAAACACAGACACAGACACGCCCTGTGTCTCATAGATGTCCTGTTTTCCTTCTCCAGGAGGTCGAGGACATTAATATTTGGGGTCTGGATGTTTTCAAGATAGCAGAATTCTCCGGAAACCGCCCTCTGACGGTGATCATGTACTCCATCTTCCAGGTAGGATCTCTCACAGCCCAAAGTCTGTTGAAACAGGATGAGAATGTAATACATTATAAAAGTTCAAGGTTATACATTTGCTCCTAATCCCATGGTTTACATAATGTGGTGCCCCTACTGTTTCTGGTGCACTTGTCTATAAAATTAACTTTTTTCATAATTTAGTATATAGCTTCTGTGGTAAGCCGCCACCTTGCACTTTTTTTTGTATTATTAACAAAAAAAAGTTGTTAATCCCTGCAGGGTACATTTGTATTCTTATTTATTCTTTCTTAGGGGAAGTCATTTTTATTTATTCTTTCTTTTTTTATTTCCATTATTTTTTACTTTAATGTTAACTTTTAATTGAGCGTATGTTATGTGGTCAGCTGTCAGCATGTGTGAGTTTAAGCGCTATGACACAGAAGAGAAAATATGAAGAAAAAAATCCCTGCACAGTAACTGTTGTATTTATTATTGACAATAACTGAAAAAACCCTTGAAAGAAAGTTAAGATTATATATTTGTTGACATGATTTAGGATGTAAATTGCAGTGAGGAAGTAACTGTCACTATGAAGTTGTATTTTACTCCCACTGTGACACACCAAGAGTCTGCTGGTTGCAGAAAAAACTAAATGTAACTTTCCGTTAATTGAATTGACACCACAGAAGAGAAAAGTTATCCTTAATGTGACTTTGATTCTCTCCTCTTCCTCTTCCTCTTCATCAGGAACGAGACCTTCTGAAAACCTTTAAGATCCCAATGGACACCTTCATCACCTTAATGATGACCTTGGAGGACCACTACCATGCAGACGTAGCTTATCACAACAACATTCATGCAGCGGACGTGGTGCAGTCCACCCACGTGCTCCTGTCCACCCCCGCTCTGGAGGTGAGCTGAGGAAGATGGTGATGTTTTACTTCATGTTCATTGTCACAATACGAGATGGTTAATGTACAATGTTTTCTGTTCCTCGTCTATTCCAGGCGGTGTTCACAGACCTGGAGATCATGGCTGTGCTGTTTGCTAGTGCCATCCATGATGTCGACCACCCAGGAGTTACCAACCAGTTCCTGATCAACACAAGTAGGTTCTCCTCTGTCTCTGCACACACCAATCAACAGGTTGTATACACCTGAGGGATTTCAGATTATCTCAAGAAAAGTTTACAATGTTTTAAGAAGAGAACACAGATGATCTCAACCGGCATTTTATATGTTCATTTAATATGTGGCAACATTTTAAAGACGTTAAATATTTTAAATACAATTATATACATGAATACGCATTTATAAATCACTTTTCATATTCAAAACACTTAATGTGTTGCCTGGGTGTAATTTGCAAAGGCACATAGAGTACTACAGTAACATAATGAAGGAACAATGACAAAACTACATTAAGAAACATGGATAATAAAACACATCAGACATTCAGGAAATGTTCAGACACTTTTAAATAATTTGGAATAGTCCAATTTGTCATTTTCCTCAGTTATCAAGTGATAATTTCTTACAGATTGAACTTTTACTTGAGTATAATTAGTTTCGACTATTTTTCTAACTCAGAACGCTAAACTATACAAATGATATTAAGGTTTCCCATTAACCAGTTTTGACCGTTTCCACCCACATCTCTGCAGGTTCAGAGCTGGCGCTGATGTACAACGATGCCTCGGTGCTGGAGAACCACCACCTCGCTGTCGGCTTCAAACTGCTGCAAGAAGACAACTGTGACATCTTCCAAAACCTTAGCAAGAAACAGAGAGAATCCCTCCGAAAGATGGTGATCGACATGGTGAGACTGCTGCGCTTATTTCATGGTGATATCCTTTTCATGTGTGCTCGAACACAACTGTAGCTTTAGAGCCGCTGATGGGAAAATGTTAAATAGTGCTGTTTTCAGACACATTTTGAGGTTTATAATTTTCTCTGTTTTATGTATAGCCACAGTAAAAATATACTGAATAATATCACACTAATAAATTACTTGACTGTTAAGGTTTCACTTGGGGACAGAGATCCTGTGATCCAGGGGCCAGGGCCATAACTCAGTTACTGCTGCAGTGAAGCTAAAAGACAATACAATACAATCTCTGTTGTTTTTTAGAATCAAATGTATTAACACTTTGCAAAGGTGAATATATTTTTAAGAGAAGCACAAGAACATTAAACCCTATCCGTCAGTAAACTCACATACTTTTACAAAAAGACTCATCTCATATATACACAGCATGCACAGGTCACATGGGAAGCGTGCGTCATTCAGTCGATAATGTGTTGAATCTCTTTATTAGGTGCTCGCCACAGACATGTCCAAACACATGAACTTATTGGCGGACATGAAGACGATGGTGGAGACCAAGAAGGTCACCAGTCTGGGCGTCCTGCTGCTAGACAACTACTCTGACCGCATCCAGGTGAGTACGCCCCTTTCTGAAAATCAGAACACAGACAAATGTGTAAACTCATTCAGTAAGTACACACTTCTTAAATAACATCATGCAGACAAAACAAATATTTATTCCGTCACCATAGATGCCAGACATGGCAGCAGCATGTTTCATATGATGTTTCCACACTGACCTTCACACACAACAAACTGAACAGCTGTTGGTACAGTGTGTGTAGCAGAGGGTTAGTGTGAAGGTGCTGCTGCCTGCTGGACACAGGGGTCATTGCATCTGTACTGAGCTGGACCAATCTACAGTACACTGTGTAATGTTGAGGTGTGTTGGATCAGGGCAGTGGGGTATTCTTAGAAGAAGAAAAAAACCAGAATTTCCAAGAATCAAGTCACAAAATCCCAAGTTTACGAGAGTAAAATGTTCTCCGAATTTTTTATAGTAAAAATGAGCATGTGAAAGAAACATTTTGAGATTAAACTCAGAAGATTCTGAGCAATCTGAAAAAGTGTGTTAATTATCAAAGAACCTTATCACTTCACTAATCAAGGTTTGATCACAGCACCATCTCAAAAAGAGTTTATAATCTATTTTCTTTCCTTGTAAATTCTCATTTAAAACGTTAAGTTTAGAACGTTTTTTGATGGAAAATAAACCCTGACAACTACAATGGCTCTAATACGACTTAGTAGTACAGGGTTAAGATGTCTTTAGATAAAGTCAAAGAAATGCTCGTTATATTTCTGAAGTTATCCCCCCTGTTTGTCCTGAGTCATTGTGGTGGAGGTTTGGAAACAGAGTCTGACTGAGCCTCTCTCCTCCAGGTTCTGCAGAACATGGTCCACTGTGCCGACCTGAGCAACCCAACCAAACCGCTGGATATCTACCGCCAGTGGACGGACCGCATCATGGAGGAGTTCTTCACCCAGGGAGACCGAGAGCGGGACAAAGGCATGGAGATCAGCCCCATGTGCGACAAACACAACGCCTCCGTAGAGAAGACCCAGGTAACCACTGGCACACTGGCATGTAGGGAAACGACGGAAATGTTTAAAACTTCAAGGAGTTAAAAATAAACATTAGTGTTCATCTTTATTTTTAATGAGGTCCTTTCAATCTTTTACATTATGAACACATCATCGTTACCTGTGTTTATTGAATTTAAGTTATTCTTCTTTTTATTTTAAGTGTTCAAATGTAATAAGGATGCAGTTAGACATATTTTGAACTGTCCTATTTAAGGCATTGAAATACAGAACTCCGTTGTTAATGTTTTACATATTAGTCAGGATATTGTTTCTCAGTATATCTTTGAATTACATTACCAAGAAAAAGATATTTGTTGATCATATGACGTTAATATAGGCGTTTGTCTCAACTAAACAGTTCGTGTTGAAATCACATCCTCTGTGTTTTTGACTGCCGGTAAGTTCAGCAGGAAACGTGACAGGAGCAAATATCAAAGTTTTATCACTTTTATTGTGCGGTGTGATGACAGTCACAATTATAACAAATAAGAATGATAAAAGTCAGCAATGAGAATATTAATATAAATGGTAAGACATTCAGAGTCATCCAAAATGTCCTTGAGGAACTGAAATCATAATTTTAGCATCGTTTTTCTTTAGTAAGCAGAATTTGAAACCGGCTTGCCTTTTTATTTAGTTTTACTCATTGCACTCCTGTCATATTTGTGTGTTTATGATTTCTACTAATGATATATCATTTCTATGACCAGGTGGGCTTCATTGACTACGTTGTCCACCCTCTGTGGGAGACATGGGCGGACCTGGTGCACCCTGACGCTCAGGACATCCTGGACACCCTGGAGGACAACAGGGAGTGGTACCAGAGCATGATCCCCCGCAGCCCCTCGCCCACCAGCCCCGAGGAGCACCTCGTGGAGGCGCTGCCAGGGGCTGTGGAAGCGGGGGGGGCTGTCTCCTCAGGAGGGGACAAGTTCCAGTTTGAACTCACTCTGGAGGAGGAAGAGGAGGAAGAGGAGGAGGTGGAGTCTGACCTGGAGAGCCCCCTGGAGGAGGAGTCAGGTGGGGAGCGGCAGCGGGACTCCTCCTCCCCCTCTCTGTCCCCAGGCCCCCGCAGCAGGTACCGTCCCCCCTCGCCTCACCCGTCCCGGAACCTGGCTACCATGTCGTTGCGGAGCCCCCACAGGACGCTGGCCTCCCCGGGACGGGAGGGGGCCGACAGGGACCGAGAACTGAGCCAGGAGGGGGAGGGGGTGGCGTGCCTTCGTATGGGTACGTAACAACCAGCACCACCTGCCCCCCCCACCGCCCCCAGAGAGACAAGAGACGGGATGAGGAGAGGCGGGGGCGGGGCAGGCCTCTACCGATAAAGTCTGTAAAATCACTACAGTCCCTTTACACTGGAGACACCCGCTCTGGAGCACAGAGGGACGTTCCCTCCCCGGTTTTATTTTATATTTCGACAACATGAATCGTCTCAGCCTCTCTTTGGGTGCCTGATTGTGTCCGTCCTGCTTTGTTGTAGCTTCAGAGTGTCCCAGACAAAGACTGCTGCATTTTAACCAGGAAGAAGAGTGAGTGGAGCCGAGGCGGGACACTCTAACATGAACAAAAGGTAAAAGGAAATGTCTTCCTCTAAAATAACTGATTGTGACATTCAGACACGAGAATGAGGACGCCGTGGTTTGACAGGGTCTTATATATATTATATATTTTGCACCATAGTTTCGAATTTTAGGATATGGAATTACCGTTGGAATAAGTGAGTATGATTTCTTTGTTTGAGAATGATGTGAGAAATGACTTATTTTACCAAATACAGGATGTAGATGAGAGTAAGTCGAAGGACCTAAACCTCAGGGTATGAAGGGAAATCTAATGTAGCATGGATGTAGAGGGTTCCCCTCACCCTCGAACACATCTGTCTTTCCTGTTTGATTTACCTCCAAACTAGAGACACACCTGAGACTTTGTTTAACGGCGCGTCTCTGCATTTAATTAAAACCCTTTAATAGAGGATTTGGCAAATGAAGCAATCACTTAGTATATATTTAAACCTGATTGTAGCAGCACAGAGATTGAACACTGAAGAAGACTGAACCCCAGTCTCGCCTGTTGAAGATGTAAAAGACACCACCTGTATAATTAGTTTGGGCTTTATTTTTTTACCTGAGGAGATTTTAAATGGTGTCATAGTTTTAGAGTTTCAAACTGTTCCTTGTTGTACATTTTTGCTGGTCTCGTCTGTGTTTATGTGCTTAAAAAGCATTTTTTATCAGGGTGCCTCCACAGTAGCACTTTACTGTATCTGCCCTTCAGCTCTTCTCTTCAGTCACTCAAAGGGCTTCGTCCACTGCAGGCCGACTGAGGATCACACAGCACTTCTCTCCACAAGGCAGGGCAGGAAAATCAGCGATTATCAACAATTTCACAAAATGACTGGACCAACAGCAAAATTCACAACCTTTTGGTGGTCTGAAAGTATAAGAAGTAGTTAGTCTACTTTTTGCCTCAGTTTCTTAAGGAACCCATTAAACCGTTTATTGAAAAAAGAAATATATAACAGGTGCAACTAAAGGATATTCACATGGTTTGCACTTTTAAAGGCAAATGTATTACTGCAATGTTCTCTAAGTTTATCCTAGGTTCAAGATTTAAATCCAAAACTGCCTTTTTGAAACAACAAAGTATTCTTTCTGATGTCAGATTAGAAATTGTTCCCACTTATGATCTGCTTAACTACAAATTATTATGATGTAGACAAAACATGTAACCTTCCATTTATATTTGCCTGACAGCAGCCCAGAAACAGATGAGGATTATTTTCTTACTCACACTTTGAAGGACATTGCTGGTGTTATTTGAACAGTTTCCTTGTTGTGAGCAGATCCCATGAAAAGACTAAATGTTAGTTTCTCAATACTTTCCTCCTGCGGCTCTCAGCCCAGAGAGCATTTTTAAAAATGTGTCATAAATATAAGATATTTGTATTTAATTCTACTTTTTTAGCAAACATGACTATTGGACTTCTTTTATCTGATTAAACATGTATTATATATATCAATATTATTATATAATTATTAATAATGAGCTATTTATTTCCAACAGCAGGACAGTGGATCAGGATTGATCTCAAATAAGCTAGTGCACATCCTCATAATGAAGCAATATGTCTCTCAGTGTAGCTCACTGATGTCTTTTAAATATTTCCGGCACAACAATAGAGGTCTATCGACAGCTGTTGCTTTTTTATCTTTTCATGGGGGTTGTTGACAGTAACACAACTATGGAATATCATAAAATGAATCCAGTGATTGGGACATTTTGTTATTTCTACACCTCAAAATTAATATCATGCTGAAGATTGTTTATTTTCTGGAACCACACAAACAGATTAAGATTTTTTATTTGGATGCAATCTTTCCAGATAAGTCACCATACTGTTCCTTTCCTGCCCTGCAGACAAACTCTGATGAAGAGATCAGAAGTTGCTGACAGAAATTAATCAAACTAAACCGATTCTCATTTGATAGAAAGTGCCCGAATGGGATATGACTGTGTGCCATAAGTGTTGAAAACACACGATCACCTGCCAGCCTACGATGCTGTACATTTTTACACAAGAGATTTTAACCTGATGATTGTATCAAAGTCAATGACTTTATAGAGTTAGTTTTTACCAATGATACGTGTTACCAGTATTTAAAGCCGACCGTCTGTTAGATTTTGTGTAGCTCATGATCAGTCTGTGCAGCCCTGTCCTAACCAGATAGCTGCAACTTGAACATGTGTGTAGTTTCAGGAGTCGCTGAAGTAGAAAGACCAGGAAGCAGCACGCACTACAGAGAGATATGATGCACTTCCTGGTCAGGCACTCGTAGAAAACAGTATTTCATTAAGTCAGCTAGTAAGCTTTACTGATCAGCCTTACATGTGATAGAAGTGGTGGGAGCCTATTGTTAAAGGACCATTATGCTGTTTGAACATGCCGAGCCAAAGCATCGTTTGATCTACAGTTCTGAAAAAAATCAAATAAAACTGCTCCATCCCGGGCTTTCAGAAATAATAAAATCTCAACAAATCGGAAGAAATTATTAGGGTTGTCCCAGATACTTTTATATAGAATTGACAACATCAACATTCATATTCTAAATACAAATGCTGCCAATTCTTTAATCTGTATTCTGCTTAGAGCAGTTGCCCTTGGAAAGCTATAAAGATTCTTCTAAAAAAATGTTAGGCCTAATTATTAAAAGTTGCTCTGTGGCACATTAAGCTACCTCTCCCTTTTCCAGCTTTGGCTCTTGGAACCAAATGTCTGTGTGCAGTAAAGCCTTTCAACTCACACTGCTATGAAGTTATAGTTCCTGCTTAACATCAGTTTAAAAGCACAGTCTCAAGTTAATTACATTTTGACTGAAATAAAAACAGGAGCTAAGACCAACAGAAATGTAGTATTTTGTATAATGTTATAAAACATATAAAACAAAATTCCTTTAAATTTAGTGCTTTGCTCTCTGTGACAGTAAAAGCGAAGAAGCTGTCCGCTAGCTCTCCTGAAGCAAAGGAAGAGATACGTTTTTAAATATGCAATAAACTCAAGCTTGAGTAGTTAGCACAGTGACGGATCATTTTAAGATGTTGTTCAAAGTTCCTCTATCTTCATGCAGAACAGGCAAGTAAGTAAAGCTTTCTTTGTATAGTAGTTTTTAAACAGTTAAAGCTTCACACACATCCCAAAAAGAATCAATAAAGTAAAAACACTGTTCTATATTTTACATCATAAATTACAAAGACACAGCCCAAAAAATTGAAATATGCCAAACATACAAGTTTGGCATGGCATTTCTAACATGTAGGATGATTTTAAATATTTAACAGTAGATTTCAGATCTCAGTGATTGTTGGCGTTAGCTCGGGATGTTAGCAGTGGCTCTTTACAGGAAGACATCAGTGCCATACAGTGTTAAACGTGTCTCTGTTGTTGTGTCGCGCTGATACTGCCAACATTAATGTTCATGCTGTCTGTTTTCTCAGCCTCTGTGTCGTGCAAACCTCTATAAAAAGATATGTATTCTTCAAAAGTGTCTGTCGAGACAAAGTACTGTATCATAGGACATTTGATTTTATGTTCTGGAGCCTAAAATTCAAGTATACATTAAAACGTATACACCTGTCACTCCAATGTTTTGTTTTGTCAAAGAAAATAACTATTTTAGTTTCTCCTTCTAAGCCAAAAGACTCTCTGGAGTTTTTTAATTGAAAATGCCAATAAATAATATGAAAATCCATCAATGCGTTTGAATTTCTTTTTTGTTTATTATATGGCTCAAAATTTTTCTTTCAAGTGGAAGAACTTTAAATTAAAGAACTATGGTACATGTCACACGCATTTATTCCACTTTCAAAATAAAACCACACTGCATGATCTCGCATCCACAGTTATCAACTATATTAAACGTGATTTTGATGCCGTTTGGTACGGTATGCATATTATTATTTGCCGTTGTGATCAGCAGAAGCTTCTGTTCAGTCTGACCGGAGCTCCGTTGCAGGCTGGAGGCTTCACACCCTGAAGACACAACACACAGTTAGTCACACACACACACACACACACACCCGCAGGTTAACTGACAAATATTCAAACAAACAAAACCTGCATTTTAGTTCTGATACACATCGTCAGATTGAGCAGAACGACTCTCTCCCTCTTTGGCATCCTTTTATAAGAGTTCTTCTCCCAGCACTGATAGTAACCAAATTACCAAAGTAGAGTCACAGTAACAAGAAAAATATATAAATAATATAGTCCTTACTTTGTAGAGTTGGCAAACCAAGCTAAAGAGGGACGACATTGCCTTGTCCTCGTTATCTTCTGTGTATTCCTGGAACACAAACCGTTTATGATCTTTAAATCAATTTAAAGCAGCTATACATTACAGACACACATCCAGCAGTAGACTACAGTATCATTATTCTGAGTATTTTATAAGATCATTATTTGACCTTCAAATATAATGGAGAACATCAAAATTAGATTATAGCTGGGTCCAGAGAAATAATGGTACCATTTTAACCTCACAGTTTACAGTGCTTTTGACAGCTTTTGAATATGTGTTGCAGAATTATTAACAACACATTCAGTAGAATGAATGTTGATTTATAAAATGTTCCTTTGGAATGAGTAAACTGTATTCAACCAGGGGGGAAAAAAAAAAAAAGGGTTTTGTGACAGTTTCTCAATTTGAGAACAAAGTTAACATTGTACACTTATAACCACAAAAATATGTATGGGGTTGAACAATTGCCAAAACAGTCCTTGCTAAAACTAAACCTTTAAAATAGTTTGAGACAGAATCATCATCTCCTCTGCAGATCAGTCTTTATATTTGAGTAGTGACTAAAATGTTCTGGCGAAATAATTAAAAAGTCTTATTCTACCTTTTTGGTCAAGAAAAGTGGAACTAAGAACTGCATTACTTTGTGTCTAGGTAACACTTTGTATCCATCATTATTAGCTGTGTGCGTTTTACCCCGTAGAAGGTGACCCAGGGGACGTGTGTGTGAGCGGGGCTCAGCGCTCTGGTCATGACAGCGTTGGCGTGCATCAGCTGGTTTCCCAGATCGCCCGTCACACAGGAGGAGACCCTCGCCCAGGAGACGGAGGGGGCGTACAGCTGGAGACACTGACACACACATTGAGAAACACATATATCCATAGATAAAAGCAGGAGTCTTAAAAAGGTTTAGATATGTTTTGAAACCACCACCCATGCAGTTTTTGACACAGTAAAGTTAGCATGTGCAGACTAATTTACTTTTGTTGATGTTTTCTAAAGGAACATTTCACTTTTTATGTCAATAGTTTACAGAGCTTCTTACTATGGCTCCTACCAAATCACACATTAAAAAGTTTTTAGGTGGTAAAATTTGGAGGTATGCAAGCTTCACGAAGCAAAGATCTATTAAGGATTTTACGAAAAGTGACTCCGATATTTATGTACAGAGAATCTGATCAGAGTCACTATTTACCAAAAAGTCTGTACTGCCTGAAATCCCTGAAGAGAATTGACTGGAACGCAGAGGAGCTCCATAGAAACATTTAGCTTTAACGTTTTAAGAGTGGATTCAGCTTCTGTGTGACTTAATAACAAAAGACATGTATGCATTCACAATGTCACCCGAGTGCTAGAAATGTACATTTATTTATTTTCCAAGCTACTTTATGATTCAACAATACAAAATGATAGCACATTGGTGTAGTTTTACAGAGCTATAGCTGGACCTTTCTCCATGTTTTTGCTGACAATTTCAGGGTCCAGAGTTTTATGAATTATAAAACCCTGCTTGTTCCTCTGACAGCACCTTATCCAAAAAAAAGACAAAGCTTGAGTTTATTCTGTAGATCAGAGGCCTGTACTACAAAGCTGGATTTTCCTAACCTGGATATGTTTGAATTAGCCGGTTGGCCTAATCCAAAACATACGCGCTCTCGCTAAACGGTACTACGACGCTGGTTATCAAGTGGATCGCTCAAGCCAGCCGTGCCCTATCTAGTTAGGTGCGCGTTCACATGAAAGGAGTGGTATTTGGAGCATTCGACCAATCACAAACATGGAGAAGTGTAGTGACAGCACAGCGTCATACTTCCTGAATGAAAAGTCAACTATAATATTAGACAAATATGAAGAAGTTAAACTTTAAACATCCATGACTTAAACACTTTATCCAGGATAAAAGCCACATAGCTGCACCTGCAAGGTGAATACAGCTGGTAAAAGAAAAAGTGTTTGAATGCGAATTAACAGGTTTATGATATCACTAAGACACGAGTGGATCTGACTTTAAATTACGGAAATTTTAGTATATTCTGGAAAGAATAAAAACCAGTATAAATTCGTGGGAAAATTCGGAATTTTAAGTCTAATAGTTTAATTCTGAAAATTCTGGGGCGCCTTGGGACTTTATATTGGACGTTTTTTTGTTTTTTTTTAATCGAGTGTTGCTGACCAAAATAATAAACTTTCCATCGAGAGTAGTTTTTTCTAACACTGAGGTCTTGTCATGACTGCTTCGACCTATACGATCGGCGATTGCAGTCCTTTTGAGCCCGAAGGCAGGATTGCTTCGACCAAGAGAAAAATGTCGATTCTAGAGGTACCATTGAATCGACCCCGATTGGACGGGGCTTGTTCCAATCCAACGTCCGCTTCTGAATAGTCTTTCGTAGGAGACTGGTTAGTCTCGAGTCACCGACTCAAAATTTCGCTACTTCAGTATAATCGTCCCCTTTCCTTTTGCTTTTCGACGGCAACGTCCTTCTGCGGCCGTTTTTAGTGTCTGGCACACTTGTATTATTTTACGTGGAGGGTAGAAGTCTCTTAGCTGATAATATTGTAATCGCAATTCTTTTCGAATGATTTTAGAGGTGTTGTATTGGCCTTAGTTTCATGTCAATTCATGTCGGCGCGTATAGTGTAGTATTAAAAGTATATAAAGGAATAGACTCAGTCGCTCAGCTAGACCAGGGGGCACGTTTGTGAGTCACAGTGTTGACATACGTCTTCATAATAAAATTCGTTGTGTAATTCAACTGCTTTGTGANGGCTGCTGGTCAGACTGAGGAAACGAGAAAACCGAACCCCTCTTCCGAGTATTCTTCTGGCTAATGTTCAATCCATTGAAAATAAACTAGATTAATTCAGAAGTCGGATTGTTTTTCAACGGGACATTAAGAACTGTAACGTGTTCATTCTCACTGAGACCTGGCTCAACCCTACGATCCCGGACTCCGCCATTGTTCCAGTCGGCTTCACTATCTTTCGCCAAGACCGGACTGCTAACTCGGGGAAAGTAAGGGAGGCGGTGTGTGTCTTGATTAACAATAACTGGTACACAGATTTGATGATTATTTCTTTGGACTGTTCCGTTCATTTGGAGCACATCATGATCTCATGCCGGGCTTTTCACCTGCCGAGAGAATTCTCATCTGTGGTGATAACAGCTGTGTATATTCCGCCACTCGCCGACAACAACACGGCACTAGGAGATTTGTTTGGATTTATAGACAGCATGGAGACTTCACGGCCAGAAGCAGCATTCATTGTACAGTAGCAGGGGATTTTAACACCGCTAACATAAAGAAGGTCCTACCGAAGTACTACCAGCACATCAGCTGTCCGTCACGCGGGGAACATATACTGGACCATGTTCATTCCCCTTTCAAACATGGTTATAAGGCTCTCCCTCACCCTCCCTTCTGCAAATCAGACCACATCTCACTACTACTGCTGCCTGCTTACAAGCAGAAACTTAAACGGCATAGACCGGAAACAAGGATTGTACAGCGATGGAGTGAGGAGTCAGACTCAGCTCTGCAGCACCGCTTCGAATCTACGGAGTGGAGTGTGTTTGAGGACAATAACATCAACACACACACGGACACGGTCATCTGCTACATTGGGAAATGCATCAATGACGTGGTACCGAAGGTTTCTGTACCAACATTCCCTAATCAAAAGCCCTGGATAAACGGTGAGGTTCGTACCAAGCTGAAAGCGTGCACTATCGCGCACAGAGCTGGAGATTTGGAGGAGTACAGGAAATCTAAATATGATCTCCGGAGAGCAATCAGCAATGCAAAGAGACAGTACAAAGAGAAGGTGGAGTCTGACTTCAAAGGCTGGTATACCATGCGTATGTGTGCGTCAAGTGCAATAAATATATATGCAAGTTGCAACACACACAGAGTAAATGTGTTGTATAGGCTAGTGCCACAGTGACGCGTCCTAAAACCCGGAAGTAAACTCCTCCGGAGAAATTGCATTGGTCTTTGTCGAAGGATCCGGAAGTGGTAAAATGCTAACTTACTTCCGGGTTTCTATGGGGCTGATGTGTTGTGTAGATTCTGCCAGAAGGAAAATCACGGTCACACTCCTTATGAAGCGGTGAGCTGCCGCTGCTCCACATTGCTTTCCTTCCCGACTGAAATGCTGGTCCCGCAAATCAAGCAAGACCGTGATTGGCCGATATTCATTGTGGGGGTGGGGGGAGGAGGGGTGTTAGATAGATATAGAGTTGTAGTAAGTATAGAGTTCGCTATGATTGAGGTTTCGTTTATGCATAGGGTAGATTATTTTAATTACATTTCCTTTTTTGTTTTGTGTATTGTTTATATTTTGGATTTGCTTGGCGAGCTATTTTTAGAACATGCCCCGCTTGCGACTCACGATGCACGTGCGGGGCGAATAAGTGCCCGCGGACACCGTGTTGGCTACCCCTGCTGTAGATACTCACAGGCTGGGCAGCATTCAGGACATTTGCAGCAGACTCCATGCAGTAGATGATCTGAAAGGCTGAGTGTCCAGTTAAATGGATGATACAGGCCTGAGGAACACATCAATCAACCTCATGTCAGCATGTTGCACCGTTAAAAAGTGACAGTGTGCGTAATGAAACATTCAAACCTCAATCATGTTCCCTCTGCATTCAGCCTCTCCATGCTGACAGGTGAAGGGAGAATTCACTGATGGAAGCTCCTAAAAGAAAAGTTTGAACTATTAGTCTGCATATGATTCATGATTGTATTTATAGCTATTTACAGAGGACGAGGTAACGAGGATCAGGGTACCTTGGCGTTCCCGTAGGGGACCAGAGTGACGGTCATGATGTCCTGCAGCATCGTCCAGGTGGGGAAGAGCTGCTGGGAGATGAAGCCTCTGCAGCCTGGACACAAGATCTCATAGTACAGAGTGACGGACACAGGAGGAACAGCCCGGCTCGGTTTAGTAGCATTTAACTCCATACACTGCTTCTGAACCTGGAAACAGAAATAGATGGATGAAATGTGTCAAATGTATAAAAGACATACAGCTTGTGATGATCTAAGGCTAAGCCACATTTAAACCAATATATTCTTCACATAGATAGTTTATTGGAAATAAGCTAAAAGTACAAGTAAAAAGTTGTTAAATACGTTTTTTTGTAACTGATGCCAAATTAAAACACAATTTTTTAAATGAAATTACATTATTACAACTGGGTATGCTTTTTGTTAATGATGAGATAAGATCAGAACAGTTCCTGCGTTTTTTACAATGGAAACTAGTTCAACAGTACAGTTTTTGAACTAAAACATTTAAAGGTTGTTTGATTAACTGTTTACAGCTACTACTTGCTTTTCGAAGCCGTATTTTTAGGACCCTCTCCAATGAGCATATTGAACATGAGCCAAGGGCCTAATTAATTTCAAAGATAATAAAACTGTTTTGCTTTCCCCCCCCAACTTTAAACTGATTAAGCGTTTGTCCGGTCACATGAAGAACCACTGCTGTTCAATTTCTGAGGCATGACTCTCATTTAAATAACAGACAGGGAGTTTTCATGTTTATCACAATGCTGCTAAAAAAATGTTACATCATATTTAAAACACGTTTTCTATTATATAAACCAGAATTCCCTTTTTCAAAGATTAGATGGAAAAAAGTTTTAGACTAAATCAACTATTTTCGCATTCATGAGATGAACAAAAGTTGTTTGGTATTTCAAATATTGAGGACATTTACTGTTTTGAATTCTCACATACTATAAGATAATTAATACAGCAGGCCATCACGACCGAGAAGATGGAAAGTAAATAGTAAAACATATAGTTTGGCTTGTAAGTTCCTATTTTATTCTAATAAACTATATATAAAAAGACACATCAAAGTTCAACAGCAAAAGAAGCAAAAATGAGAGAAGTACATCCCACTTACAGATAAATAACAGAAATATAGTAAAACATAAAACCCCTCTCTCCATATTTAGCTTTAATTGTATTTATTTATCTTCACATCATCATCTTCAAACATAAACAACTGTTATTGTCTTATAGGACCATTCAGCTTTCTTTGTGTTACAATATCGAAGCATTTTATGCCATGACCCCATATGCTACAGGAATAAAATAGACAGCTGTAAATATTGTCCTACTCACATTGCATGCTATTGCTATCTCCAGGGACCGACACCACTGTGAAGGTGGATAGCGGCAGGCCGGTTTAGGGTGAGACCCCTCGGAGCTTCCCAGGGAAGTACAGAGGAGTAAAAACCCAGGCAGCAGTCCTGGCAGCTTCATGTTGATCTGAGGAGTCTACAAACACAGAGTAGCAGAGCCCTGAAGCTGCTAAGAGCCGCCCAGCCAATCATCCGCTGATTAGCGCCAGGTGTGAGCTGCTGCTGCCTTCATGGAAACTCGGACAAAAGTAGCTGCTTCTGGCTCCATGAACAGGAGGAGAGATAATCACATATTATCTTGATTTTCTAAATGTAGGCCTATGGTTAATTGAACAATTGAAAAAAAAATAGCAAGGTGATACAGGGGGGGGGGGAAACAAGATGTCATGAGGGCGTCTGTGACAATGAGCAAGACAACAAAATGGTTTAGGCATGTCTAATATTGAAGTGTATTTAAGTCATACTTGTCAACCCTCCCGATTTTCGCGGGAGACTCCCGATTTCATTGCCCTCTCCCGGTTTCCTCCCGGGGTCATATTTCTCCCGCATTTCTCCCGATTTCTGACAAAATCTGATTTACTCAGGACTGTCTCCACTCGGACCTTAATACAGCTTCACCATTGTTTGGTTTGCATGGTAACACGTCTCTTCAGTAGCGCGCGCACCTGAAAGTCTGAGAGGGTGAGGCAGGTAGTCACAGAAAACAGAATCGACAACTACTCTACTCTCTGCTCACTCCTGTCCTGTAGCCCACACATATGCTCCATCAAGGATGGTGCTTCAGGCCGCAAGGCATTGCACTTACAACTACAATAAGCATGTTAATGTTACTCTAACAGCTCCGGCGATCCACTAGCACCC